GTTGTTCACCCTTCTTTTGCTTTTAATAGACGAAGAAATAGAGGAAATTTCCATGTTTTCTTTTATGACCTGAACTCTCACACCGGTCGCACTATAAAAGTTCGACCGACCAGGCACTAATCGAGAAAGAACTAGCCAAACCCACATACTAGCCTCCATGTAAGTTAAGGATATGATAAAGTGGATGGCAGAAAAACTCAAACTTGAGATCAATTGCCCACAAGTCCAAAATCCTTATCACTCTACCAACCTCTTAGAGGGTTAGGAAATTTCCATGTTGGCACGTTTAAGTTATCATAAATAGTAATTTTAGTCAAAAGTTGAACTTGTCGAGGTTTCTTGACAAATCGGATGCCCTAATGTCATTTTTTCCGCCTATGATTTTAGCCACATCCTACTCTAGTCTTCATGTATTGTCTTTTCCGTGGGATCGCGATGTGCGTGTCTATCCAACTTTGTCGTAGGTAGGATCGTGATGCATGTCTAATCTAAGTTAATGCCAAATTCACACAACAGATCTCTCTCTCTCTCTCTCTCTCTCTCTCTCTCTCTCTCTCTCTCTCTCTCTCTCTCATTGCCATCCTCGTTATCGAGTCTAAAGGTCATTTAAGAGTCATCGCCTCCAGATCTGGAGGCCCGACAACTCAATGGAGAGAGAGAGAGAGATGGGGGATAACTCGTTGTGCTGGATGGTGGTGAAAACAGTGCGGCGTGTAAGGATTGCTAGATTAATTAAGATTATAATTTACCGTTTTGCGGTATTGATCTAATAAGGTAAGATATAAAGATTCTTAATTAGATCCAATGTGGGACAACATGGCGAGGCCGACATGAAAGCAAAAACATGTGCGGAGGAGGCACTAGAGATGCCCTGTGGTGGGTCAGAGAGAGAGAGAGAGAGAGGAGGGGGGGCTATTTTATTCATGTGTTACGCACATCAATATACGTATACGTGGTGTAACTTATAATAACATTACCAGAGTGATGTGTGTTTCTATTTCCGGATTTGAATTTTTAAATCTTGCTTTTTATGGGCAACATGAAAGAAAATTTGCCCAACCTCCATTTTATAGGTGATTTGCACATTCTTAAGAACTTTGAATTATTATAATGTCTCCAATTTAATAGTGATATACATTGATGAAAGGTCTGATGGAGATCCAATAACGTGTAACTTGTTACTTCAAGTCAATTGTGAAAACTTATTGCTTCAAACTTATGCAAAGCTCCAACGGACTAGCTGATTAGCATGCAGAAGCATCGAGCCAGAAAGTAATAAAGGATAAGCACTTGTGCCTTATAAATCAAATTCGATTATTGTCGCTTATGAAATCAAAATGATAATGTTTTATGCTACTGTACGAACTGGCGCGAATGGACAAACACGATTGTGACATGGTAACACGAGTTGCCACCCCCCCACGGTCTTTCTTATGGACTCTACTAGCAAGAAATAGAAAGCCGCAGTAATATGTGAGCTTATGTACTCTTGATCCGGAATGTATGAAAAATTAGATACATCTTTATTTCATATTTGAATTTTGAAAATCTTACTATTTATGGGCCGGTATTTGCACGTGTCGGTGTCGAATGGTGGCCATCGAATCGTAAACTTGTCACGAAGAAGTATCCTTCGTGAAGGATTTTTACATAACAATCAATCGACAGCCATAAGTGTAAATGGCGCAAATCCCTCTTCTTCTTCTTCTTTTTTTTTTTCCGATTACACTATCGTAGATTCTAGCTATTGAAGATCTTTGGTGCCGTTTTCGCAACCAACACGGCGAGGCCGACATGAAAGCAAAAACATGTGCGGAGGCGCTAGAGATGCCCACTAGTGGGTCAGAGAGAGAGAGAGAGGAGAGGGGGGTATTTTTAAATCTTGCTTTTTATAGGTGATTTGCACATTCTTAAGAAGTTTGAATTATTATAATGTCACCAATTTAATAGTGATATACATTGATGAAAGATCTGATGGAGATCCAATAACGTGTAACTTGTTACTTCAAGTCAATTGAACAAACTTATTGCTTCAAACTTATGCAAAGTTGCAGCGGACTAGTGATACACTAACTGAACGCACGATTTTTCTAATCCTTAATGAGCCAACGAAATCGGACAGCAGTGACACGATACGGTATGCTTAACCGATATATCGATACGAGTTAATACGTTCTAATCGTAATTCGATTATTGTAGCTTATGAAATCAAAATGATAATGTTTTATGCTACTGTACGAATTGGCGCAAATGAACAAACACGATTGTGACATGGTAACACGAGTTGCTACCCCCCTACGGTCTTTCTTATGGACTCTACTAGCAAGAAATAGAAAGCCGCAGTGATATGAGATCGGTCAACTTACCCTAGCTAGTTGTCACCACTTTTTGTATATGGATGTATTTTAGATCAGATCAAAGGAGATTTTTCATATCTCTCGGGATTATGCATCATGATTGTGCATATCATTGATTGATCCCGATCGATTGTAACCGAAATTATATTAGCTTCTTGCCTTTCTTTATCACCTTAAAAAAATTATGTTATAAAGCCTATAAATAAGCTTATGTACTCTTGATCCGGAATGTATGAAAAATTAGATACATCTTTATTTCAGATTTGAATTTTGAAAATCTTACTATTTATGGGCCGGTATTTGCACGTGTCGGTGTCGAATGGTAGCCATCGAATCGTGCAAAATATTTCACGAGAAAAGAGAGAGGAGAAAAGGTTTAGATTTGAGGGTTTTCTTTAATTGTGAGTGAGCACAGATTAAAGTGTCCATCTCGATAGATTATCGAGACTTTGTTGAAGTGGATGGAGGTTGGGCATGCTGTTCATAGCCCTGAAACTTGTCACGAAGAAGTATCCTTCGTGAACGATTTTTACATAACAATCAATCGACAGCATGAAAGAAAAATTACACAAGCTCCATTTGACCAAAAAGGTGATATGCGTATTCTAAGAATTCTTGCACGATCGAGTTCTTATAATATCGTCCATCTAATCTCAATTTACATTGACCGAAGATCTAATAAAGATCCATGAATGTGTAACTTGTTACCTCAAATCTGACCGGCGAATGCATCTCGCCACATACTTAATTAACCTCGACGTGCGAGCTCAAGTGGGCCGGTGCCCTAATTGTATACCGTAAATTTTCTAAAGAAACGGGCCTAAATAGGCCGACAGAACTGGAACACGGTGACTCGACACGGCGTGCTCGGCCAATACAACGACATGAATCAACGTGTCCGACCGTAGTTTGATTATTTAGCTTATGAAATTAAAATGACGTCGTATAATTCAAATATACGAGCCGATGCTTATCGCAGGCGCGGTTATGACACGATAACACGAATCGCCAGCTCTACGGTCTCTCTTATCGACTCTACTTTTCCAAGAATAGGAAGGTGTAGTAATTCGAGATGGGTCAACTTAGCCTTGTCAACTGTCACCACTCTGTTTTTTAACATAAGGATGGGTGGGTGGATGGACAATGGTTCCATTCATTCCCAATAAAATGGGCCTAAAGCCCAGGCATTTGGTCTAGTCATATTACTCCTTAGTGATAGCCCAAAGCTCAGGCTATGAAGCCCAATCTCCCACCCCAAGAAAAATAGAAACTTTTCTCGTATCGAACCCGCTCGATTTCGCGGTCGTCTAATTTCTCGTTCCGGGGTCGTAAAAGTCGCGCGATCTTCGGTGCTCCGCGAGTCCACGCTCCAACTTTACGCGTCGATTACCCGAGAAAAGAGTTGCGTGCCGAGGTTCCAAAGAAAAATGTACAAAGCCTTCATGTACCGGCATCGATAACTATTGGGCCTTGGCTTCCAGAAACCGGCACAAAAAGGTCGGGCCAGTTTCAGGTTCTTTGGGCCTTATTGAAGAATGGGCTAAATTGCAAAATGAGTAAAAAAGGTTGGGCCATTCTCGTAAGTTTTGGGCCTATGCTTTAGTCCCGTTCTGTACTCAGCTAGGAGAATGGGAATAATTGCAAAAGACTAAAATAGCACTTTTGCCCCCAAAATGTTCCTTGAATCTGCTTTGATCTCAGAAGTTCATTGGGTCTTACTTTTACGTCCTCCGCAACCACATGCACGACATTTGTCGACTCTCGATTCACCCTAAGTTCCTGCCACGGTGAATTTTCTTCGCCATCGATTCATAGCTCGAATGCACTTGAGTCAAAAGTACATTTGGCGCTAATCTTTTATTTTTTCGAGAATATCCGTAATGCCATTGGTTCTATGCTAATGCGAAACAGTGAGAGCTCTCGATCGTTATCGGCCAAATTCATAAGATAACTATACACCCATCCAATCATAATACTATGCCATATGTATTTTTCATAGATAATTTCTCATAATAACAATGCTAATACGTATTTTTCATACGTGATCTTTTATAATAACAATGAGGAAGCTTCCTTTTACACCTAAAGAGCTCCTTGGTTCATGGACAAACAAATCAAAAGTTGCAAAACTATGGTTAATGATAAAGTATATATAATTTTTAAAAAGCCCACATAGCACCCTATTAAATAAAAACCCGACACCTTAAATCCGCCCAAGAACGGGTTCGCACCCAATCATTATCCATAGAAAATTTCTTTTTCGCTCACAAATGTGGAAATCGACGTGCGTAAAATCGCACTATTAATATCTATAGAGAAAGACACGATAATCAGAATACTCGTCACCGGTGCCATGAAAAGAAATGAAGTGACAAAGAGAAAGCGGGGTAAAATAATCTTTAGAGGTGTAAAGAGATGCAGAGGGTGAACTTCCCTTGGATATCATGTAATAAATCCCCATAATAAACAGATAAACCAGAAAAGGATAGAAAAGAGAGAAAAGGATGAATTTGGGACTCGAACGGAATTTCGCAAAAGATTAGGGGTCGCAATCGCGAAAGCGAATAATTCCCGTTTTCATGAAAATTTAGCCAATAGATCCGTCCATCCACCCACGACTGCCGAGCTATACAATACGAACAACAGAAAAGACTTCTTGAAAACCTTCACCCCCACCCAAAAACCAATCCATCCTCTCTCCTTCCTCTTCAAGATCACGAGATTTGTTCATGAAGATCGCCGTCTGACCTGGAATTCCTCCGCCACCGCCGCCGATCCACCTCGTCCGCCGCCGCCGCCGCCGCATCGTCCGCCATGGATCCCAGCCAGGTGAGTCCGTCCTCTCGTTCTTTCGCCGAGTTCGATTTGGTCGATTTCTGTGGTTTTTGCCCCGTGCTTGGTGTTCGACCGTCGCTGTAGGACGTCGTTCGTGCTTGTTCGTGCTTTGGATGTTGTCGATTGGCTCGGTTTTGCACGGCCGCGAGATCTGCCTGCGTTGGGCCGGGTCGTTGAGTTGGTCGTTGAGTTGAGTTCGATTTTGAGTTCCGTTGTATCGTTCGGGATCTGGTGGAGGTTAGGTCGTCATTGTAGACACGGGACATTCGATGGATCTTGAATTGGGAGTGAGAATGGGGAGACGAAAATGGCGGAAGATTTCGCCCGACTTTGCTGACCTTTCGGAGTAGGAGTTGATTGCACGGGTAATTTGTGGGGTTTCGGAGTGGATTTATGGGTTCTTATTGGTTCTGCGGGTAAATAGATTCTGATTGTTGCCTCTTCCTGTATGTGGAGGAAGCTCCTTACGATGAGAACTGAATTTAAGCCCTTTGATTAAGTATGTTGTTGGTGATGGAAACAAAATTTCTTATGGATGGATCTTGGGTTTCCTATGTGGGCTTTGCCAAAATGTGTTTCCTCCAAGGGTAGTCCATGATGCTGGATTATTTATCTCTTACTGTGAAAGTATTCGATGTGATTGTGAATGGGGCATGGCACTGGCCTGCTGCTAGGTCTGAGGACCTAGTTCGTATTGAATCTGCGTTATGTGGAATTCAGCCAAATGTTGAGCAGTCTGACTTCATTTGGGTGCCTTTTTCTTCTGGAGAATTTCCTACTATAATAGTGCTTGGGGTAAAATTCAATCTTCAGCTGGTAAAGTGCCCTGGCATAAGCTGGCTTGTTATTTTGAAAAGCTTCCTACTAGAGATAGATCAAAGAAAATCCTTCTTTGAACGATGTTTGCATTCTCTGTGGATCATTCGCTGAATCTAGGGTTCAGTCATTTGTTGAATGTACTGTGTCTTGTGAAGTCTGGAGCTTAGTTTATAGTTGCTGTGGTATTCAAAGAGTTTGGCAGAGTTGAAGTGATGAGATGCGATGGACTTGTGCTAGTTGGAAGGGGAAAGCTATAGCAAATGTTGCTTGCAAGATTGCATGTTGTGCTGTTACTTACCACATCTGGCTTGAGAGAAATAACAAGCTTTATGATGATAATTTTCTTGTTTTTAGTAGGTGTACTATGCCAAGAGTATAATGTGAAGTTTTGTATTGGCTTGGCAGCATCCAAACATGTAATTTTTTAGTACAATATCAGAGAAGACAAATCTGCAGTAATAGAGTCATGACTTGAGTTGCTGTATTTCTTGAGTCTTGGTTGTAATCCGTTTTGTCATTTATAGCAGGATAATCCTGCTTTGTTTATTTGAATAAAACTCATTTGCTTACCTAGCAACAAATGAAAATAAAATTATGGAATGCTAATTTTAGTGAGCTAGATCATTTGTGGTATAGAAGAATTGTATTGCTTAGAAAATAAGTGAACTTTACATTTTAAACTTCGTATGAGGTCAGGACGCATTGAACTTTTTATCCTTTCATCAACCAAAAGTTTAGCAGTTGACAGGAGATCCCTGAAGGAGTAATAAAGCTAGATATACTCAGGAGTAGTGAAGCTTTATCCCATCTTTCTGGCCTTGTGCTATAGAGCATTGTGATTGATGATAAAAATAGGAAAAGGGTAGATTATCGTGCTGTAGGTGCTTGATGGAGCTTGAGTTGTTTTCACTTATCTGTAGTCTGACAGTGGAGTGGACAATATGATTCTTTTGAAGAACTCATCTGATAAGACTTTCTTTGCTATAATCACTTATGTCATAGCATAATCTTTTGCTTCTTCCTGCAGCCTGTAGTAGAAAACTACGCGAACCCAAAGACATGTTTCTTTCACGTTGTCTTCAAGGTAAAGATAGAAGAGGATCTGTCGGAATTGTTGATAATTTCTAAATCAGGACTTTGGAGTTCTAATGTTCAATATTTCTTTGTCTTGGCAGGCTGCTGCTTTGGCGTTTTACATATTATCTGCTCTCTTCTTCGATAATTTTGTCATCATTTTTGTGGTGACGGTCTTCCTTGGTGCTCTAGACTTTTGGGTTGTGAAAAATGTGAGTGGGCGTATCTTAGTGGGTTTGAGGTGGTGGAATGAGATAGATGATAATGGTGAGAGTGTTTGGAGATTTGAATGCCTTGATCAGGAGGTGAGATAAGTGATGTTGATATTCTAGTTTACTTGCATTGTTTTTGTTCAAAGAATTATCTTTGGAAGATCTGATTTGTGTCCTTCTAAATGCATTTCCTTACTTTGGTGCTAGTCAATGGCGCGGATGAATAAGAAAGATTCGTGGTTGTTCTGGTGGACTCTTTACCTTACGGTAAGTTCACATATCAACGTAGTGACTTATGCTCATTGATCTTCCCTCCGAAATAAAAAACAAACAGCAACAATGAAACCAAACTCATTTTCTTGCACAGAGACACCATATAGAAAGGTCTTGCCATACTCACTCTGAAGCTTCAACTTTTTTGAAACAAGGAAATACCAAGGAGTGCTTTGGTGTGCTTGAAAATGAACTGCAAACAACAATGGTGTTAGGAAGTTTTATGATAATTAGTATATCTTTTAAACTTATTGATGTTTAATCCTTAACTTGTAGTTGTCCTATTCTTTGCGTTGGGGTCATTGTTTGGCCCTATTGCGGGTGCTTGGAGTCTGTCTTTCAACTTCGATTATTTTCATTATCTACATCCAAGGTTATTCTTATGTATGCAGGCAGTCGCGTGGACTATCCTTGGTATATTCTCACTTATAAGGTTCCAGGCTGACTATCTCCTTGTAGTTGGCGTTTGTTTGACTCTCAGCATTGCAAATATTGTGGGCTTCACCAAGTGCCGCAAAGGTGGGCAGTAACTCTCCTTCTAACCTTTCTGGTGGTTTGGTTCATGAGATATCTTGAATGCATAGTGATTACTATCCATCTGCAGATACATCCACCCTGTGCTTAGTTCTTTGAAGAGACGATTTGTCATGTTAAGGCCATTTGATATAGGAAATCGTTAGGTGAAGTCCTGGTCGAGTAATTACTAGCTTTAGGTATACAAGCTTAGATGGACCCTGCACCCTTCTAAATCGAGTAGATATTTTGATTTAGCTTGCGTTTCAGGGCTGCTTCTCATCTGGCATTCTATGGCCTTGAGACATTTTAGTTGACTCTCTTGATTTTGAAATCAGATTTGTCGGTTTATGAAGTTTTTCTGTGTGCTGATGAGATTGTTGGCTGTACTTCCCAGATGCCAAGAAGCAGATTCAGGCATTTGCTACCCAGACGATTGCCTCTCGATTTTCTTCTACGATACAATCGGCATTTAGCGTCGTTTGAACCGCATATACCGCAAAGTAAACCTCGAGGGAAGAATTCGCATGAAGGTGAGACGTGAAATGTGGTAGCAACTTGTGTAAAGATGATACCGATGACTGTACTGGCCAGTTTTGGATACGATTCTTTCTAATGGGAAAAAAGGGAAGTCTTGGGTCGAATTTCTGTAGGATACATAAATTTTACACTGTGCTTATTGTATCTCTCCCTCTCATAGTACCATGGACTTTGTAATGAGCTCTTAAGCTGAATGATTTGAGTGTTCTCTGCGGTTTCTGTTTCGAGTCATCTCTCCCAACACATGTTCTGCTGTGGTAGAAAAATGAGTATCATATCTAAGTATGCTTCATTTTTCGGGGATATCTATGCACTATGGTCACATGCTTGCGACATTTATCGGGACAAAGACTGAGATAGGAGTCCCAGCTGCTTAAAAATGAGAAATTGCAGGTCATGCGTTTGGCTCTCACTCTGTGTGTAACCAGTGAAAGCTATCCGACCCTTGTCCTTTGAGAAGGGGATGTCTTAAGTTTATGCCAGGAACTGATGAAATTCTGCTTTCGGATCATGATTTTTACTATGAAGTTTCAAAGGGTGAAATTTAGGTAGGCTCTCTCTATATTTGTCTTTGAAGACACTCGGGACCATCCCAAATTTGAAACTTTACTCAGCTTACAAATCTGCACAATCAGATTCTCCTACACGCCTTAGAGCAAGATCTTTCGAGGAAATCCCTTAAGAGTGTCTCAACCCAATTCGACCAAATCTGGTCAATTGAAATTATGCGTTTAGAATACGTCGAATTTGTGACATTACTTACCTGTTATATAAATCCTTGAAATCAATACTGAATTAGTATTTAATTCATTTCTCTCGATAAAAATTTCACAAGACGAGAATATGACTTGCTAACATGATTTGTCGGATCCGTCCATTTCTCTACAATCGACGTATGTATCAATAAATGCTATTAGCATGCCGTACTTCTCCTGCGCGAACCGGGTATTTAAATCATAAATTCGAAATTAATATTCAATTCTATATTTTAATAAAATATATAAATATGCTGACGCATTTCCGATATTATGAACTTTTGCTGTGCCTGGGCACTTCCCTCCACGAAAATTTCGTTCTCCTCCATTTTTTCTGGACACTGAGCCCAGAAGCAACCGACGACGATGTCTCCCCGACCACGACGACAGGGACGACGACGACCGCCAGGAGAAGAAGATGAAGGAGCACAACGACGACAACGGCAGCAACCCAATTTCGAAGTGGGCGCGCTTGTCGAGGTCGCCTCCACCGACGACGGCTTCCGCGGCTCCTGGTACGCCGCCACCGTCGTCCGCCGCCCTTCGCGGCGGTCCTCCTCCTCCTCCTACGCGGTGGAGTTCCAGGATATCTACGAGGACGAGGAGGGCACGCGCCGGGTCACCGAGGAGGTGGAGGAGTCCCAGATCAGACCGATGCCTCCGGAGGAGCCGAGCGAGAAGCGGGACTTCGAGGTGGGTAACGAGGTCGAGGCCCGTCACAACGACGGGTGGTGGGAGGGCGTGGTGGTGGAGAGGCTGAGGGGCCGGAGGTTCGGGGTCCTGTTCAGGGAGTGGAGAGAGAGGGTGGTGTTCAAGGTCCAGGATTTGAGGGTGAATCGCAAGTGGGTTCATGGGTCTTGGTTGCCTCCTTGTGCTGCTGCTGTTGAAGGTCGACAGGTTTGACACTCCGTTGTGATTTTTTCTTGAACAAGTTGGGGGTTTTTTACTTCGATCGTTTAGCTCTATTGGGCGACTGCGGTGCGCAAAATTGTACTTTGAGTGGATAGAAAGTGAATGACCTTTTGTTTTGTGTAGATGTGGACGATTAGGAGTGTTCTTGGTGCTGAGTTAGGCTGCTAGTTCAGGTGTTCGAGTGAGTCCAGCATGAAAAGGAACGATCTTTATGTCGCATTAGATGTTCCGGACGGTCAAGAACAGTTAATCACGTGTTTTCATGAATTATGCGTTGGAATTATATGTCGAAGCAAGTGTAAAGTTCCTGGCTTGATGAAGCTCCTGTTTTGGCTGGCATTTTGGGTTTAGGGCGGATGAGATTGTAGCTCAGTGGTTTTGTGCTTTGTGCACGTTGATTACGATACAGCAATCAACTAATACATAATGATCCCTGGTTGGTTGATAGAGCTGGTCGAAGAGGCATTTTCATCTTCTTTATTGAAACTATGCAAATATATGAAAGATCAAGGATTGAAAATGAGAGGAGAAATGTAGGGAATCAAGTATTTGTGTTTTTTGTGAGGCATCTAATAATTCCACAACCCCGTCTCACAGTGAATATAGATTGTGTTTTCTTACTGACACATGGAAAATTGTACAGCAGAAAGCACAATCACAGATGGAGACGAAGGTTGCCAAAAAGATGAAAAGTTACGAATTCACTAAGGGCACTCCAGTTGAGGTGAGCAGCGATGAAGATGGATATCGCGGTGCCTGGTTTGCAGGAGTGGTTGTTGAAGAGGTATCCAAGGGAAAGTACCTTGTTGAGTTAAAGAACTTCAGGACGGAAGACGATTCCGAGTTTTTGAAGGAAGAGGCCGATGCTTTGCATATCCGGCCCTGTCCACCAGAAATTGTAGTTGCTGACCATTTCGATTTGTTTGATGAAGTAGATGCTTTGTATAATGACAGCTGGTGGGTCGGTGTGGTCTCTAAGGTTCTCAGCAAATCAAGGTATGTCGTTTACTTCAGAGACACCAAGGAAGAATTGGAGTTTCAACACTCTAACTTAAGGCTACATCAGGAGTGGATTGGTGGAAGATGGATGACTGCTTCCTTGCTACAAAAAAACACGCGCCTAGTGTAAATTCTCTTTGATGCTGCTTAAGGTTTGTTTGGAAACTCAATTGGTTCTAGGGCATGTGGGAACTGTAAATTCTATTTGCTTCCATTGGCTTAAAGTCAAACTTCGTGAAGTTTTCACAAAACAAAAATTTTACAACTATAAGTAAATTCTATGATTGGAAACTTCTGAACCTCACAAGATCAAGCATTTGACTAAATTGGAACTAAACTTTCTTAGATTTGAGAGTTCCTTCTTTATCAAGAGGAGCCATGACTAAGTGTCGTCAAATTCATTATACTTAAATGCCCTTAAATTACTTAATCTGAGTCTATGGAAACTGTAGGCTGGATGTCCTGGGAGAACAGTTGACTGATTATTTCATGAACTAGAGAGAGACCTGATCTTTTTCCCCTGTTAAGTGAGAGACCCAATTATGCTTTCTTAATTTCCCTAAAATCGCCAGAAAACCTACTATTGTTGTCGACTGCTGATTATGTGGAAAACGAAAGGTTGTTTTGAGAAGTCAAAACTTAACACGGATCGGTTTGGCTCATCCGTGGGGTTTAGTTGTTCGTGGGCTTTGCCTATATGCATGTAGTTTATTTCTTCTCTAACGGTGGATTGGTAGGTTAGACATTTTGAATAGCACTTATCCTCTCTTCTTCTGATGTTTCCAAGCCGGCCAACATAGAATAGATAGGCGAAGCAGCCAATAGCTGTTTGTTCTTGCCTATCGACAGATAGCAAGTTGCTTCCAAGGTCAAATAATTTGAAACTGAATTGCTACTTCCTTCTTGTTATTGATAGAGTGGTATTCTCTGCTCTTATAAAATAAACTAGAGGGAGAGAACTGGAACAGAGAGGGATGTGGCTGGGGAAGGAAAATGCTCTTGGAGATCGAGATTGGATTTTTTAATTGAAAATGAAGAAGGCTGAGGCAAATGTTTGCACTTGAACTTAATCAGTTGACGCATGTCAGAGGATATGTGGATCTTGCTGTAGATGCTGGAATAAATGTAGCTGGATTTGATAGAAGTTAGACTAAAGAAAGCCTATGGTGGCAATTGATGTGTATTATTGACACGGATGTAATCGATTCAGATTTTCTGTATGGATCATATGTGAATTAGTATGCACCTCATGGTACATCAGTTGGCCTTAAGAATATTGTAATCGGCATCTTCTGGGCCCGGTAGTTCTTTCTATTATTCTGTGATATAATGGAAAATAAGATCTACTTTTTAACGGTAATTATCATGAAAAAACTTGCATTTGCATTTGATAGTTGTTAACCAACTATCAACTAAATCTTGAATTTACAAATGACCATAGTTTGAAAGTGTGATTAAAGGGGAATTCAGAGCATTTGCAATGAGAACTGGCATGGTACTGTGTGCTTATTGACACCTTACTTGGCATGCCAACTCAAAATGCTCGAAAGGTGCTGCAATTGAAGCATCCTCACTTTTTGCATGATTTTCTCGTTCCCTTGCGTCGGCAAGACGTTTTAAGTATCTTCAAATCGGTGACTCCCATCAAGTTATTCGTGACTATGAAGTCTTTTCTCTAGAATGTGGAGCGAACTAAGTGATGGATCATGGATAATGTTGAACTGACTCATTGCCGGTGCACGCTGCTCACGAGAAAGATTTTCTGTTGTCTGTCAAGCATAGATAAGGGACCTTGTGCTCAGTCAGGCCTTGAATGTAACGGTGGATGACTGTCCTCAGTGGGATTTAGATAGTATAGTTCTAACATGAATATTTATTTGTCTCATACAGAAAAAGAACGTATGGAGGAGCAATTCAATAATAGAATGTTGTACTACCTAGATTTCCAAGACTTATGAGGATGTCATCACCATCTCCCGCGAGTTGCTAGTTGGTACCATTCATTTTACACTGTCAACATTCATTGACATTGATCGGTATCGCTTCAGTTGTCATTGTTCATACAGTGGCACAAGAACCCCTGCTGTCATCACCTTTAGCGGCAAAATCTACCACCTCGGCGTTGGTCGTATACGCGAGTTACAGCAGTTTCGGGACTTTCTTCATGAAGGGCAGATTATGGCATTTGGAAGCCAATTATTCCTCGCGAATGGTTGACCTGGGAGGTGATCTCAGGTGCCCAAGGCCTGAAAAGACATGCGCTCTTTCGACGCCTCAGTCTCCATTTTCTTCCGACAAAAACCGAAATTTAAGCTTGGAAGGCTCTCCCTCAAGAAATGTGGAGTGAACACTATGGTGAATGTATACACCTATGCTCAGTCACACTACAATCACACTAACTGTGCATGGAAGTTACGGCTAGTCCTAGCACTGATACTTCATGTAGTTCAACAAAAAGGGGATGAGGAAAATTGTGGGTACTAATTAGTAACTTAACTTTTTAGTTTACTTGCTGGGTTTCCAGGACTCGGCTGATGTCTTTTCTTTATTGAAGCTTATTTACTGAACTTCTCCGACAGTCCAGAACTGCTAAATGTGACATATACTCACCACAATTTATAAGGTCAAGGCTTTAAACCTCGGGTTAAAATTCAATGACAGCTGTCATAAATCGCTACCCGACCTAAGCCGATCGAGCAGGCAAGAACTTAACCCCGTCTAACGGCACAACTTATATCATGTCTTGGCCCTGTGGCTAAAATCAAGTATCACATTTTTATGACATCTGTTGTAGTGTGTTGGAAGTGTTCGGAAATTGGAAAAAGGTTGATGACTAGTAGCGCTTTGCCAACACAAGATCTAAAAGCAAATATACTAGTTACAATGATACAGTTTGCGCTATTAAAACATATCGTGCATTTATGGCTTCAATCATCATTCTTGTTTTACAAAGCGGCATCATGAGGATGTGAGGAATCTCTCATCCACTTGACAAATCCATGAACATAAGTCATATTGGCCCTAATTGAGAGAAAAATCCAGAACGAGGAAAATGGCATCATTTATATATAAATAAATGAGTTCAATTACATGATACAAGTGCTGGCCCACATTACTACTTTCGACAAGCGCTAAAGTTATTCAGGTGCCAAAGGCCGCCCAAAACGATCTTGCGATGCCTTATGGTGCAATATGCTCGACAGCCACATGGAATAAGCTCTGGAATGATGGCTTATGGTGGAGGGTCTATGAGATGCATCATTCGCCACATAGAACTAGAAGACTCGGTGAAAGGAAACTTCTGAATGGGGTAACATAGATCAACTCAACACAACTATGGAGACTGGGCATCATTAGATCTCGACGTATAATTGACAAAAGATGCATCAAAACCACAGTTGATGCACAGGTACTTCCATGCACCTATAGGCCCAAGAGAGGTCAACACGCTGGAGGGATAGTAAAAGTGTCCTTGGTAACTAACCAAAATTTTGGCTCTTCTAAGAATGAGGAGATCGTTTAAATGGACACATCTCTCACACCATTCCAGCCTCCCACCTGCGCTGCAATGTTGCAATCATTCAGCAATGCCGCGATGTGTTTAACTTCTTTCGGCATTGAACCGGTGAGAACCTGTGTCAAATGGTGGAATATAAGGTTACGCGAGTGAGAGAACATGTAAACCATGAACTTTTACCTCGGATGCGACAGAAGGCATACCTACTAACCTTTCTGCCAAGATAATGGAATATGCAACATGCAGGCAATGCCTTTATGGCAAAGCTAAAAGAGTAAATTAGGAATTCTCCTAGTCAAGCTTGCCAGCTTAAGGTCAAGAAGATGAATGTATTTCAACATAGAAACAATAGCCGGAAATGAAATTTGAGGTGTTTTCATGACAATGTGACCTAAAGCTAGAATCAGTAGATGAAGGTCCCACAACAAGAGCAAAGCACCACAAGCCTCGTGCCAACCATGAAAAGTTTGTGCTCATACCTCATATCCTGCATCTGTAATAAGGACCTCATCTTCAATCCTTATCCCAATCCCTTGGTACCTGCAATTACTCTAGGATATGTAAGTTGAACTAATGACAATGTTAGAGTCTAGTGTTGGTTATAATCTAGTGCCATTACTAGACTGCAGTCTCAGAGTTAATCCATTTAGTGTTCTACTCGGAAATTTCAGTTTGACAATGCCATGACTAGACTGCCCATTTTGAAAGAGAGTTGTGATGCCAATTTTCTTCTAAATACTCTCGAAAATTAGCTTTGCATACAGGGTGGCAGGGATGCATACTGTTGCTGCTTCTTTATGAACCTCTACTTATCAATAATTTGTATGAATAACATAACTGGGCAGGAAATTCACGGTGTTTTTTTTTCTCACACAACTTCTGAGAACTTCAATAGCCATTCGGAATTGTTCCTGAGAAGAATCTTTTTAGAATTGGAATGAGAATAGAAGTGACTTTCAATTCTCTTTTCCAAGAAAAAGTATATATCAAAGTTTCAAACTTAAAAATAGTTTCCCTGGAAAAAAAAAAAGCATCCTCATTCAATAGTTTAGGTTGATAATTTGCATTTATAGTATAGTATCTAGATGTGCTTCCTTAAATGTTAGAACAAGTCAGTGAACAGAACGAACAGATCACTTCAGTATATTCACAGAGGTTTGCCCTCTGAAATAGATTTTAAACAAATGAAAACAGAGAGTTGACACACAAATCGTCATAATTTGGCATTTAGTTTAAAAAAGAACTTCCAAGCAAGGCCTGAGTCATTAGGAATTCGAGATGATATGGACAGTTTTAATTACATAAGCTTGATTCATACCACTCTGGACAATCAAGGTTGTATGGGATGTAGACTCCTGGTTCAATTGTTATCACCTGGACCCAAAAAAGCGCCCTGAGTAAACACCATGTAAACAAAACAAGGCAGCTACTTGGATGAAAACAGGAATCATACTTTCTGAACATATGTCATGGCATTTCAATTGCATGTACTTGTTACCCATGACCCGTGAAAGCCATAACAGTTGCGAAAGTCTACACATAGGGACCTACTGCATGCAACTGCACACTTAAGTCCCCATCAAGGACATCTCTTCTTAATAGGGGCTTAACAAAATATATTTGATGTCATCAAGTTGGTTTTGGAAAAGAAACACGTCTAAATTTGATACCAAAACATGCCGAAATATGGAAACAAACTCTAAATAAAGTCAAAAGGGCACGACACAACTGGACGGCTCTCAGATGAACTTTCAATAAATATGCAAATATATGACTAATAATTCCACCATCGACATGATATGAAGCAAAAAGAAAATCAAAGCTGCCAGGAAGTCAACTTACAACACCTGGCTTCAGAGGACGGTCATAGTTAACTGTAGAACAATCATGCACATCCATTCCGAGGTAATGACCTGTATGTTAATGAGGATAATTTACTAACCTTTCATTTGACACAACATACCCAATTTAATGAACTGAAAGTTCAAGAAACAAGCATCCACTGTCAACTGTCAAGCATGCAATTGATAATATTGGAGGAAGTACACTATGAAGTCATAACCCAAGCTTCTTAGAAAAACAAAATTACAATATCATTATCCAGGGATAGTCAAGTATACCTATAGAGGTTGGGTTCAGCTGATGGTAACTGTGTAAAATGCTCTGATCATCCTTCAAAAGTCCAATCTCCTTAAATCCTTTGCAGAGCATCTCAACCTGCGATACCACATGGCATGAAGACAGATGATTGATCAAACATCAGAGTCCACAGGAGCAACATATATCATGTTCCAAAGGCGTTGAAGCCATAGAGGTATCTAATACCCACTTTAAGACAAGTATTGCACCATAAACGGGGAGATAAAATTCATGTAATCACAATCAAACACGATAAAAACCTCCTAGTCCTGCGTTTACTGAAGTATAAAAAACTATTCCATTTTGACAGTATGCCAAGTAAAAAATTTGTTAATTGCAACAAAAACAGCTGTGATGTTCACAGGATCAATCTCATTTAGACTTCCACCAACGGTGCATAAAATCAAATTTGAATAAGAGCTATAAACACAAGCACAGGAAATCCATTTTACCACAAGCAATGATAATCTTCTGAAACAATGAAAAAGAGCATCTAGGAACATGATAATTGACCACAATTTGCTATGATGTTTGTGAAGAATCTAGCATCAAATACATCAGCAAACAATTACTGATAAAATGAATATCACCTATAATAGCAAACATTTTTTAGTTAAGGACTTCTCAAACCCAGATGAAATGAGTGAGGCAAACTCAGATAACAAAGCAAGACAGTATTTGTTTTCAGCCGTTTCAAGAAAGAATGTCAACAGGCAGTAGAAAAAAAAGATTCTTCAATCCACTCATGTAAGAATAATCTAAACATACCGAGTATTTGTGAATTTCTTGAATGGTTGTGCCAGGTTTGCATAGCTTGATGCATTCTTTGTTTGTTTGCAGTAAAAGGTCATAAAGTTCTTGCTGAAAGAAAAAAAAGATATCATGGTGATATGATACAAAAAGAATATAACCTCCTAACTATAAAATTATTGGAATATGGTGGAAAGCAGGAAAAACTGGACAGGATCATTGAGAGGTTCAATGGAGATGCACTTAATTGGACAAACATCGAAGGAGTCGGAAAAAATCCATGCACAAGAGATGAATGAAAGTGTGATGATTGAAGTCCCATGTAAACATGCAAATTGTGTCATGTCAATGATTTATAATTTAAGTGATGATCCCACGGGATGAAATATGCGACGGGATGGGTTCATCCTTATTTTTTAATAATGGCATCAACAGGAACAACAGCAACAACAACCAAGCCTCAGAGAGAGAGAGAGAGAGAGAGAGAGAGAGAGAGAGAGGTTGCTGTTGCATACTTGAGAAGGTGAACTTGAGAAGGTGAAAAGCTGCCACAGGGAGGCCAGGTGCGAGTTAGGTCACTGACATAACCATGCAACTCGCATCCAACATCCATCAAGACAAGATTCCCATCTGCAATCTGCAAAGAGTATTCATAATGTTAAAGGTAATTTCAGTAGAATGTTGGAGGTCTGGATTAACTGCTGGAATGGATCTCACTTTCTGATCATTTCGAGAATAGTGTATCACACTTCCGTTGTTCCCACCACCTACAACAGGGTTGAATCTGGAAAAGAGAAATTGAACAAGAATCTGTCAATCGCTTCACTTCATTGCACATGTTTCATATAATAAACACAAATTTTGACACCACTCTAATGTATGCGTTAGATGCTTTATAATAGAATATACAGAAGAGACATTATAGTGATAATAATAAGCTTCTTTTGATGTTAATGAAAATACTCACGCCATCCTTTGAGCGCCTCTCATTCTACATTCATATTCAAACTTTGCAGAGAGCATAGCCTCATGAGGGCACACTTTTGAATGCATCATTGTCTGCAAAAGCGCCTAGAAATAGCAGATATATATTAGTCATTAATACATGCGTGACAAATAATTTTTAGGCAAAACACAACTACCAACAAAAGTATTCTCTCTCTCTCTCTCTCTCTCTCTCTCTCTCTCTCTCTCTCTCTCAATTGATCGATAACTGGGTACTGTATTCATGTCATCCATTTACCTCATGGTTCAAGCACAAATTCTAGTGTAAGAATGACCCAAGCAGTACATCAATGTGCATGGCGAAATACAAACAAAGTTCAAGGATGATGTGTAGACACATCAAACAAAAAAAACTTAGATAGGCAGTATCACATATAATGATGTTTTTCTATGGACACTTCGAGAGCAGAAGCAAAACGCTATTAACAAGGATGAATGTACCAAGTCCTTCTGAAATAGCAAGTCAAAGCAAGTGATGATGACAAAGATTGCAATAAAGCTTCTAACAAGCGAGGAACGAGAGGTTCACTCACATTGGTGCATCTTCACAGAATCGTGATCAAGAAATTACTTTCTAAGTTTACAAGATAGATTGACTAGCCTTACTAATCACTTGGAATCAACAACTAGCTCTCATTTCATTAGGTCACATATTCAACTGAAATCTCTCAAGATAGCAATAATAAAAATCCAAAAAACAAAAGAATTTTGCCAAAGGATCATAATAGATTTGCAAGGTTTTCCTTTTCTATTTCTTGAGTATCTTGATGCATGGAAGTACCTGGCAAGCAATAGATGCCGATTCCCTCATCAACTTTAGCTCTGCAGATGATTTTGTCCACCGTAATTCGTGTGTACAAGCAGACAAGTTATTCACTTTGCCATTGCTGGCTGCCAATTGATATGCCTCTAAATTTGTATATGCTGATACAGCGGTATTCGCATTATGGAACAACCTAGAGCTTTGCCGAATCATCTCTGAGAGAATCTGCAGTCAGCAACTTATATGGTCACTAAAATAAGTTTCAATCATAAACAATTACACGCACTCCAGCCTGAGTCTGAGCAATGATGACAAAAGCAACCTCTCAGTTTACTAGTTTTTAAAATATACTACCTTAGGTAATCTGCTCATTGGGTATGCTGAGTCAGCTTTGAATATCTCCAATGCCACATCAACTCCGGCAACATGCCCTTGCCAAAGGACATCCTGAGGGTTTATAAGGAAAATCTCTCAGGCTTGAAACTGAATCCTAGTTCCCAACACAAAAAAGGAAAATCTATAATAGTTTTGAAATGCACATGATATGGTCCACTCCATCCTGTTCTCTCAATCTCAGTATCCACATATACACTAATACAGAAAAGGTTGATCAGAAATTACAGGAGCATGCTGAGTATCAAACAAATAGATGAAATGCAAATGAAAGAACAGCTCCGCCAGATGATGGCGATAAAAATGACATTTTAAACAAAGACTATTCTTATGTATGACATCATGCGTGATGATTGATAAAGATCCTAGCCAACCTAGGAAAAATAACAAGTGAAAAGGTACTAAGCCAATCCTTATATATAAAACCAGGCATACATGGGGTGTTGCTTCTGGCATGAACATGCATAAACCACACTCACGACCTAGAACCGCGATGCCACCTGGTTGTTGGCACCCAGTGATATATGAGTAATCAGCATCTTGTCGGAATGTGTACGGCACAACATCTGTCATCATCTTTACAGGAGCAGCTGCAATGATGGCCAAACCCTTGTCGGGGAGAAGATCCAGTAACCGGTTCCGTCTTGAGATGTATTCCTCTGCAGTAATGCCAGGTGTAATCTCTCCCTCATTTAGTAACTACATGTAGAACCGAACGATATTCTTAATTCTCATAAATAATAATAGTTTATAAACTTTTGACTGATGGGAGTCATTGTCAATACTGCACCTTCATTGCTACTTCATCCCCAAGAGTCATCTAACAACTCCCCTTATCTGGAGGTAGGAATTGACTCTTGGGAGTGTCATTCCATTGACGCACCATACACCAGACTGTGCACATGTGTCTGTGCTTGTCTTTGTGTGCATGTGCGAGCAAGTGGACGTGTATACATTCATGGTAGATGAGCACAGCGCGATATACTCCGCTCATTCTTTGGAAAACACACCCATGCATTGATGAAAGCAGCAAGAGTGCACGATTGACCATAGAGAAGTAAAGTAGAAGTACCTCAGGATGGGTTGCTGGAGTTGGCTGTCCAACATCAATCATCCTTTTGGAAGAAAATGAACGGGAACTGATTGCCTGAAGCTGAAAAGAAATTCTTGAGCATCATACTGATTGAATAAGCTAACTGATGAGTAAAAACAGTTGTATACTCGTGATGAAGTCCAAGAAAGTAAAAAATCGATTGCATTAATGGACCAACATAAGCATGTCCCGGAAGCACAGATCATTCCAAAAAGATTCTGAATTGGAATACCCAGTTGAGCCCTTAGACATTATGATAGTCCTTAAAGACCATTAGAGTGTAGATGATGAACATTTCAACTCTCAAAACTCATACAAGCGACACCAAAGACCTCAACTTGAAGAGGCATTTCACTGTCGAGACCCCACCAACATTTCATCAGACTACCTCCACAAATCTCTCTACTCCCCCATTAACCTTCACCAAAAGCAGCGCCTTAAAAGCGTCATCCCCCCATAGCATAGTCAACGAATAGCTCCCACTCCATTCTCATCACAAAAGCACAAAAACAACCGACCCGAAACCGCATACTCATTCAAAGAACCAAATCGAACGAACAGACCATGAATTCTTCGAGTTCCCGCGTAAAAACTCACCTGTCGGGGCGAAGCTCCCTGCAAGAACTTCCTCGCGAGAAAACGAAGCGCCATTGGTTGCGCGCCGGACCTCCTCTGAAGCGTACCGCGATCTCAAATCCGGTACGGATCGAAACCCAAATCACGTCGTCACGAAAGTTCAAATTTTGCTCGCTCGTTTCCACGGTTTCATCATCAGGCATGCATCCATTGCTTCCTGCGAAGCTAAAAACTCAGCAAGAACTTGAAGGGAAGCAATAAGGCAAGGGTTTAAGGCGGGGAGGGGTTGGGATTCCCGAATTCACGAAACTGCCACGGCTTGGGCCTCTTCCCGTTGCAGCTGCTATTTGGCCTACAGGCCCACTTATCGGGCCCATTTTCTTGGCTTTGAATGAATGATGGGCCGAAGCATTGTTACCCACACAAACACGGAAAAGTGTCGGAAAAGTGCCACGTAGGCCGGTCGGCACCCACATCAGCAATATCCGGCCAAAATTAACCAGAATGACTAAGAGCCCGTTTGGTTCAACTTTGCAAATAAGCTTTGAGGGAATGCAAATACTTTTAGATTAAAGACCCTTAGGGAAATGCACATTGCGTTTGGTAAAAGATCCATTGTGACACTACTTTTGCCCAAGTAATGTTTGACAAATCTTTTTTTGCAAAGGGCTTTAGGATTTTTTTTATTAAAAAAAAGCTTACCCTTCGCTGGTATGGCCGCTAGCAAGCTAGATTTGGCACAAGCAACCATCACCGAGGTCGGGCAACCCCGGCGCAGTCGCGCGACCCAAGCGACGAGGCTTGAGGTCAAGCGACCCCAAGCGCCGACTCCTCGCCGGCCCTTTGTTTGTCGTCCCAATCTGGCATCGTTGGCTCTAGCTGGCTACCCTCGGCGGCTGCCCTTGCATACAGAAGATGAACGGTAACAACGAGATGCAAAACTAGAATATTAAAGAATTAGTTTGGTTAGTTTTGGAAGAAAAAATTTGGTTTCAGCATTTGGCAAACGCTGAAAGGCCAAAGCTAGTCCAGACCGGCTTTGAGCTTTAAGCATTCCTAAAGCTGGCTTTTGGCTGAAAGCCTATTGAGAATGCTTGCCAAACGCCCAAGCAATTCCCCAAGGGGCTTTTGAGGGAATATTGAACCAAACGGGGCCTAAATTGGCATAATTAAAAGATTTATGACTAAATTGGTATCAATGTAATAGGTTTATGACTTTTCTAACACTTATCCCCACATAAACATGTACGGACATTTTTGTCATTAAGTAGGCCTATTAGAATAGGTCGTAGATCTGTTTCTTTACTCATATTTGATAAGCTGGATTATTATATGAGTTAGTTATATTCAGTAAATAGGTCATAAATGGGTTTAGAATGGTAAACCCAAATAATATGAGTGTTAAATGGATTCACAACTTATTTAGACCCAACCCACATTTGTGACTCTCTCTTCATTCTCTGTCATCCTCACTTGATCTCGTGCTTGTTAACTCCGCGCTCTCATCTCAATTTGCGTATGAGTTTTCGTAGATTGAGTTAAATGTGAAAATATTTTAGCGATATGGATTGGATTTGGTATGAGTCACTATATTTGTATTGAATGGATATGGGTCAAAACGGATTAGATGGATTAATTTGGGTTGGACCATTTTCAATTGGCGATTCACCCGTTTGACGGATTTACCATTAAGTAGCAGTTCGTAAGCATGTTGACGTCCAATGTGGCATCTGACATGGCATAACTGTGTTTAAAGGTTATTTTATTTTAGTTTAAAGAAAAAATAGGGTTTTGAAAAGAATTTGGGTACAAACTTTCAGTAATATGCGCTTTGCTCAAAGCAAAAGGGTGCTCATCGTGTTTTGCTCAAAGAATCTCTAGCGTGCTCTGCCAAGCCAGTCAGAAATTTTTCGATTTCGACATGCACCTAGTGAGATATATAGCCATTTCAGAAGTCACGAGCGAAACCTATAGATATACAGTTTAAATTTAGGAGAAGAACACTAAAAGTGCCAAAAGTTGTGTACGGTGCTCACTTTAGTACCAAAAGTTTCTTTTGGATCACTTAAGTGTCAATTTTTTTGAAAAACGATCTTTTCGGTGCCAACCCATATCTATTTGGCTGAAAATCCGATATGGCTTTTTTTATTAAATTCTTAAACCTAAGTGGCTCGCCAGAAGGTCTAGTTGGCATCTAAAGCCATAAACGACGTCGTATAGTAGCTTTCCCCCAAACAAGGACCCTAAATTGCCAAATCGAGAGTGAACCCCAATTTCAAAACCTAACTGGCCATTGAACTGAAAAATTTATGCACAGACTTGGTTCAATGATGAAAATAGCGCTCGACAAGCAGCAAGGGATTTGTAATAATGTGAATCCTGCCTATACGCACCTCAGAACAAATGAAAACCAACGTCGTATGTACACAGGCTGACTTGGGCATATTATCAAACATGTGGTGAGCATTTGGACTGAGGAGAAGGTATTGGCCCTTTTAGAGCTCAAGCTTAGAGCTAGATCCAACAATCATCGAGAAACATTCGAAATTGACCGTGTCAGCTCACTCAAACCCAGCACGCGTTTGGACTAAAAAACAAAGAATGAGTCTTCGTTTCCGGTTGAACCAAAACAAGGGGGAGCAGCAGGGTTCTTGGGAACGATCATTGAATACGAAGACCCATATCCAGCTTGAAGACGGTGGCTACAGGGCGAGTTCGAGACAATCGCGCAACAGCTGGGCGCCTCTCACTGTCTTCAAGCCAGGGAGAAAACCCGGGGCGAAAATTTTCTTTGAACTACGGTGACCCAGCACTCCCTTTTCGTGCAATGTTGTTTTGCTAGACCGAGCCATGTAGATTGTGCGACGTCGTTTAGGACGATCACCTGGACAGGAGCTTTTAAAAAATTTGCCAAGTCATATTATAATTTCAATTATAAATGCCACGTAATCAATTTGGCTGAAATTTCTCGTCATTGACATTTAAGAGATCGTTTTTTCCTCCGATTTGGCACTTAAGTGAGCCGGCAAAAACTTTTGGTACTAAAGTGAGCGCCGTACACAACTTTTGGCAATTCTAGTATTCTTCTCCCTTATAAATGCATAATTAGGGCATGGTAAATAAATCACATGTTTAGATTGATCAGCAAATCTGTAATATTAGGAAATTGTGTCTTGAATATCTGCATATTTAGAAAAAATCACGCTTGCTATAAGCGTATAGATAATTTTGTATCTCTTTTCATTATAATAATTTTCATGTTAGGAAAATTAGGATTCTCATGAATGTATGTTTTTGTAACACATTAGAATAGTTGAATTGCAGATATAGTGAACTTCCATAATTGCATATTCCTTCCCCTGATTGTATATATTTTTCTTCTTTTATGCCATAAAGAGAAAACAATAAAAGAGAGTATATCTTGCATGTTAATCACCTCAAACTGCATATTCACAAAGTATCACATAGATCTAGGATTGCACTTGCGTTTAGGGTAAAATTACATATTTCCATCATTTAGAGTCTGTTTGTTTCGCGAAAAATGAACGATTTGGAAAATATTTTCCCGAAAATAATCACTTATTTTGCTTACAAAAAAAAAGAATGAAAATCGTCATTATCGTCCACAAAAATGTTTAAGTATAAATTATTGTCAATAACGAAAATATTTTTATTGGCTAATTATTTGAAGCGATATGACCAATCATTTTTAGGAAAATGTTTTTCAAAACGTGTATTTTCCGCGAAATAAACGGACCCTTAGAGTAAATTTAGTTTCTTCTTATGCACAATTTGAGAATCACCAAAATAAAAAATTACCATTTTTACATTATAGGCTTAGGAATACGTTACACACGTAGGATACTAGTTAAATTATTTTTTTTCATGTTTAGAAGCTCATATTTAGAAATGTAATTTACTTCACGATGCGCTTTTGCATAGCATGTTACATCTGCATATTTAAATCTCCTTTGATACATTAGTTTAGTTTAGAAACTCGCATAGACTTTCCATTTACGGCTCACTTGAATTTTGTCCTGGGGAATTATAACAAGGTCTTTATAATTGTTGCCCGAGACGATTCGAGTATTATATTATGCCTTTTTTATTTTTTAATTTGTTCAATGCTTTTCATACATTTGTACTCGGTAACTTTTTAACTGTTTGAATGATTACCGTAAATGCATGAACATGTAGATGCATGCTCTCAAATTGTCACTCAAGATTGTATGAAAATTTTTCCATAAAAGAGAAAAAAATTACCAATCCATTGGTGTTAGTTTATTTTAGGTAACCAAGTCCCCGGACCCAATTTCTGGTTCGCAGAGGTAAAGTGATCTCTCGTGTTTCTACCGGGCTCTTAACCGGCCCGGTAAATAGTTAGTAGAGACTCTAAAATAATTACGCATTAATTATGTAAGCACGGTGGCATCTGATGTGGCATGACCTAGTTTAAAGGTTATTTTATTTTCGTTTAGAGGAAATATAGGGTTAAAAAAAATTGGGGATAAAAATTCAGAAATATGCGTTTTACTGAAAGAATCCCTGTTCTTCTATTTTGACATGTACCGAGTGAGATACATAGCAATTTCAAAAGAATCCCTGTTCTTCGATTTTGACATGTACCGAGTGAGATACATAGCAATTTCAAAAGTCGCGAGAGGAATCTATAGATATACATTTTAAATTCATAGTTAGGGCATGATTGATAAATCACATCTTTAGATTAAACCGGAAGTTTGCAATATAGGAAATTGCGTCTTGAATATCTTCATGGTTAGAATAATTCATATTTGCTAGTCTAATTGTGCTCACTTTTACAACTTTAAGCATATAGATCATTTTGCATATTAAAATATGATTTCATATTTCAATTGCAACTTAATAATTGGCATGTTAGGAAGATTAGGATTCTCATGGGATGAATGTTTTTGTATATATTTATTTCGTTTTTTTTTGCCATAAAGAGAAAACAATAAAAGAGATCATATTTTTTTTTGTATATATTTATTTCATTTTTTCTATCCAAAACTTTTTCCATCACAATTGTACTTACTTAATTATTAGGGAAAATTAACCACTAGGGTTTGCCCCAATGGCCACCCTTCCTATTTGGAAAGGGGGAGGTGGAAAGTTTGATTCCCTACCTTCTCTGAGGGGCTGGGGGTGGAGACGTTTAGTTTCAAATGTGGGTTTCGGCTCCTATGCTCCGCAAAGTGGCAGGACAAAAATCTAAGAGTGAGTTGAGACTTAGAGTATGACAG